ACATATTGGGCTTTCTACTCGTTTTTACTAATTAGGAATTCATTTTCTTTCCAATTAATTGTCTGATCCTGAATATAATACGACGCCCACTTTTCTGGAACATAATTTTTAGGGGGGACAAAAATTTAAATATGCCAATAATCCCAACCCCTGTCAATAGGTGTTTCATTTTATATGAAATTCTTGGATTTGTATCCAGAAATTACACCTGACATGACAAGTCACCAAAGTTCAGGCAAAAAAACACAAAAGATGTTTTGTTCCTTGAATTATAATATCACAGTAAAGCTGTAGACCTCCACTGACTGGATGGATAGCAATATCCTTGAGAGTCCCAGTGACGTAAATCCACACTGCTGTCAACACTTTTTGATTTCCTTTGAAAAGAAGAAGAATCAATTCCTGGCCCTGGAATGTGCCTCAAAACCCTGAAAACTCAAATACACCAGTACAAAGAGATGTTCTTCATAACATGGTATCTAAAGACAAAGACATTTCCACACACGCTGGTCTACAAAGACGGGGAAACAGTTGTGACGGGTTGTGAGAAAGCTTTGTTGACATCCCTTAAATTCCAACCGGTGAGGCTGTTCATGCTAAGGCGCACGACCTCCTGCTACGCTGCCGTTTGTTTTAAGTAAGTGTGTCTGGGCTCACAGGAACAACATTAGCAGGGGATTCCCAGGGTTAGTAAACCATTGAGCCAGTGCAATGGCAGGGCAGAGATACAGATCTGTTTAGAGATGTTGGTGCCAACTGAAGTCTGCCAGGAAAACTAGGGCTCCACTTCTAAAACTACTTCCCAGAAACCTGACATTACCAACAGTTCCGCAGACTAAGCTTTACCGTCTCAGGTACACACAGCTGCTCACACAAATACCTGCTCATTTATCAACTTTGTTACACATTGACAACCACGTCAACAAAATCATGGGGCAAATACCATATTATATTCAAACATTTAAGGATAATTTATGGTGCCATTACAGTCAAAACATTCCCTATCGAGGTAACAGATATCATCAGTCATACGATGTGAATGCGCTTATAATTCAAGTGTTATCACACTTGACAGTGTTACCAGTCGTTGAAAACTTAAAGCCTTCAAATATTCAATTTAGACCTACAGCAATTAGTTGATAAATTCTCCTTGCACTTATTGAATAGATGTAGTACTTTGTACCTACACCAAGGTCTCCTACTGCACTAAAGCTTCACTAACTAACTCCTACTTCACTAACCCCTCAATTTTAAGTCCGTTTAGAATCATGTCGTGATTCATTGTTTCATTCATACGGTAAAAACCCAGAGGAAACCACCTGGCTGCCTGTTTATCCCAGTAAGCAGCTGCTGCTTGAAAACTCCCACCTGACCTTGCCTCACATAATCTTACTATCACACTCACACACACACACACACACACACACACACACACACACACACACAACAACACACACACACACACACACACACACACACACACACACACACACACAGTGATGTCCTGTTTTGATGCTGTGTCTGAGTGGAAAACAGTGCAGTAGTCTAAACGGACCAGGCGTGTTTGTTTTACTGTCTTGGAGAGGGACGGAAAATCAGCTGAGGAACAAAGAGCTTGAAAGTCAGAGTCCCTTGTTTACGTGCACACACACGCACGCACACACACACACACACACAAACCTACACACCCAAACACACACACCATTGCCAATAAGAACTAACAATTTTAAGCTGTTTTTTTTATTTTTTTATTTAGTGGATGAATGTGGTTTGTGTGTATCTTTTTATCATAATCAGATAAAGAGTATATAACAGGAAGAAATGGCTGATGGGAAAGCCAAAGTCAGAGGATAATACGGAAATTCGATGTGTACTGATTCCCAAACTTCTTACTCAACAACTTCCCAGACTGATATGCAAAGATTTACTGTAATAACAGAAGAGGAGAAGTTTATCTCAATTGGTAAAAACCATTTTTCCCGTTTAACATACAGTTATATTCCATACTTCTCAGTGACTTTCATTAGTGTTTAATGTTGTCTTAACACAAGCAGGTGTACAAGAACTCTGCCTTTATGAAATTCAGGAATGCCATGCTAAAAAGTTAACGATTTAGATCAGGACATTGCTACTCAAAGACTAGGCAGACAATTATACAAACCTGACCAAGTACTTTATAACTTTCAGTAATTGTTGAATAAGTTATGAGTTGTGTTTATAAAGGACAAAAACAATGGTCTGAGAAGGTGGACTTTATAAGTGGAGAGCAGGACTGAGGATGAGAGGAAGATCTCAAGCTCCGCAGGGCCACAAAGAGGTGCTGTAACCTGAAGTCGATGTGGGGCCAATAAGTTTACTTAACTGATGTCAAGTTTCCAATTAACCTGACATATAGGGTAAATAATACAGCCAGTTAAGGAAGGCTATATGGATCCTATCAGTGTGTTGCTAGAGTTTGTCAGTTGAGAGGATGAGCAGATTGTTTATTTACTCCAGACAGGTCTGACAAAGAGACAGGAGGCGCATCTCTATTCACAGGATGAGAACAAAACATTTCCTGACAAGAGGCGTCTCTCTGCTTAGATCCTGCCAAATCCTCAATTATTTATTTTCCATGAAGGACTTAAAATAGCTTAGTCATGAAAACATCACATCATACTGTCAGTGTTGCACCATCTTGCTTCATGTTACTTCGTGGCTGCTATCATGGATCACTATCTTGCAGCACTGTCTCGATGCTGCCAGGTAAACGGGATGGTTCAGAGCAGTTTGTGATTTATAGCTGCCTCATGTTTGTGCCATGTTAACATTTAACTCATTATTAATGGACAAACAACAGATCACATCAAAGTTTCACGTTTCATTCAAAGTCCAGACCGGCTGCAAAACAGCACATCAACAACACTTCAGCATACTCTGTCCATGTTCAAAGGGCTTTTATTTACTTATAATTGCTGTTGCATATTCAATAATTTCTTCCGGGAAATGATGCAAAAGCTAAAGCATGATTCTATACAGATTTAATAATATGGTGTTACTGCTTAAATAGAGTGGGATTTCTGCATAAATAAATGTTTTTTTTGTAGTTTTTTGATAAACTAACTGCCAAATACACATAACAGAGAGAGAAAATTGTGTACTCTCACAAATCAAAGGCTCCTAACAAGACTTTAAATCTCTCCACATGAAAAAGCAATTTATTTTCAATTTGTGCATAAAAATGTGAGTGGAAATGCCAGAAACAAGACTCAAAATATCGCAAAAAGCGTTTGAGCATAACTAAACTTACACAGCAGTGTGGAGCGACAAGGAGGACTGCAACATTCCTCAAATGAATGCATGCAACAAACAGACATTTCTGTTTGTTTTATGCATCAATAGTTTTCACTGTTTAAGGTTTGACTGGTTCTATTTTAATTTTGTCATCTTGTTGCATTTTCCTCCTCTGCAGTGGTTTAATGGTGTCTGATAGGATAATTTACAATTCTGGCATTTCATTAACCATGAAAATACATGGACTATCAGAAGGCGGCTGAATGGTTATGTGTGTCATTACAATTTTTTTTAATTTATGCTTGTAGTAGGAAAATTACAGCCTGGTAACACTGCTGTAGTGCTTGTGAATCAGAGTCTGTATGCAAGACTTCTGATGTTCATTCTCGCTTTGAAACTGTGAGAGAAAATAACTGTGAATATGCAAGTGAGGCCCAGAAACTGATAATAAAATCTTCTGGGGTCAATGAGTCAGTGAGATTAACATGTTGGCTTTTAACCCATTACAGAAAAAGGAAAAACAAAAAAGATATTACTCACGTAGCCGCTCTGAACAAAACCTTGCATAAATATGAGATATCAGCATTGAAAAAAAACAATAGATATGTTTAGTATTTAAACATTTTCAAGCTAAACAATTTGGTTATATTACCAAGTGTTTAAAGCAAAATTAAGCAAGGACCAGCTGTTAGGGAAGACAGACTGAGTGACCAAAACAAGAAGACAGCCCCAAGCCCTCATCGGTTCATATTTTAGTGCTGGGAAGTTGACCATCTTCAGCAAAATTAGCAAATTTAATGAGGAAATACAGCATTCAGTTTGCAGGATGTGACAGTTTGTGACAGTCTGTGCTCTGGACACATTTCAGTCTGTACTTGATATTCAACCCTAGCCACAACTACTCTAGAATGTGCCACTAATGTATAGATCAATACATTACACACCTGTGTGTCCATTTCATAAGACCAGGGATCAGTTTATTCACTCCACAGTCCAAAATCTAACTGTTGTCCACAGACTTTTGGCTGGATACATCACACAGATAACATGTCCTCCAGTTGAGAATCGAAGCCCAGTAGCAGGACTTTTCTCTTGACAGATGCTGGCCCTTAATCCAATCTTAGCTAGAGAACATCTTGACATTGAATGGACACTCGCAGCACCAAAATGAAAAGAGACTCAATAAACTGTCCACAGTTATTCATGTGCATCTCAACAACTGACAAAGGCAAAGTAGTAGACTGGTTCAGTACTGTCTCTGTATCAGATGACAATCAAAGACTACCCAGAATTTTTGTATTTTATAAGACTCTCACAAATTGGTATCACAGTCTTGAGAAATCTTAAAAAGCACTGAATCCAGTTCCAACAAAAAAGGGTAGTCATAACTTTATTTTGACTAATATAAGCAGGCTGTCAGGAGATTTATACATCTGTACACTACAAGTGATGGGAAAATGGACTGTACACAGTGTAAGTCAAAAATTTATTAATTACTAGTTAATCCATCCATAATTTTTCTGCCTCCCCTCTGGGTCCAGGTCATGCTTACTGATACAGACAAAAATGTGTTATTGTCTCTTGTGGGATTCTGTCATTTTTAGACTGGTATTGCTGTAAAAAAAAATTAAAATTACATTCTGTGTGGTATGAAAGAGATGATAAAAATCTAAAATAAATTAGTCTAAATTTAATATGGTGTGGTGTTTTGTGTGCATATTGCCTACCTGTAGACTGGCTGCATCTCTCTGGTGATGCCTATTACTGCTCCTGGAGGAAACCGGTCAAATTCTTGGAAGAGGTCCCTGATGTTGGTCCTGTATTTCAGATCCAGGTCAAGCTGCACAATGCGCATCAGACCTGAAAGAAAGGTGCACTGTTAAAGATCATCGATTATGCAACACATTGATGTGACATCATCAAACTAATCACTCTGTGACCTATAGTACCAGTACCACTCGGGAAAGTGTGTCCAAACATTTGATTGGTACTGCAAGATGCTGCAGAAAAGTCTGGTTGGTGTTTGCTAAAGACCAAGCAACCTTCATTTAAGTGGATACTTGATGAATAATAATTTCTTTTTAACCAAGTTTAATAAATGAGATCTCCATTTCTATAAAAATGATTCCAGGAAATGTACTTCTTAGTGAACTGTGCATGTAGAGTTTCCCTGCCTAATCACTCCAAGAGTCCTTCCAGGCAGACAGAGTTAGAGGAAATAAGAGCAGACTGACAGACTCTTGGAAAGCTTAACACAATTATATGGTTTCTCTGCAGCGGTGCATTTGACTTTTGCTTTTCGTAATGTCACCAGTGATCAAAAAAATAAATTAAATAAAATAAGTAATTGCATGAAAATGTCTATAAATTGTGGGGTGAAATGTGTAGAAGGTTGAGAATAGTATAAAAAGCACAAAGTGCAGGTTGTGCTTGACAGCTGTGAGTGTAGGCACAGTAAATGATTAACACTCTATCTTGTTGTTTGTAGATGAAATCATAACAGTAACCAGGATATTCGGGCCCTCATCTGTTCATTGTTTCAGCTTCCTATGTTTTGCTGGTTGGCATGGTGATGAAAGGATGGGAAATACTCAGGAATGGTGCACCATGGGCACAACGTAATTGCTGAACTGATGAAAACACTTGCCATGTCAGCATGAGAGGTACTGTCAAAGATGATGGCCTGTAGTTTGAGGGCAATAAACATTTATTGGCAACGCAAAAGGTTGGTTTGATAACATCTTTGGAACTGGTGCATCTGGTGCTGATGGACTTACAAGATGGGGCTACTTAAAAATTATGAGCTGCATGGTTTGTCTGTGTAAACCCATGACCCTTTATTAGAGCTCAATATAATTTCAAATCTATTTTCAGTTCATCATTGCCTTGTTAAGATCAAACATCCTTCAGATACATTAAATCACATTAATCTTAAATTGTATTAAATATAATCAGAATTATTTCTCCATAGAGAATTTGCTAATAATGAGCATGAAACTGGCAGCATATGAGCTGCTACAGTTGTCTAGTCTTGCTAATGCTAACGTGCCATCTTGAAGCTGAAAACCTTATTCTCATCAGTGTTGTTTAAATCATTAGAAAACAATGCAATGGTGTCTTGCCTCGATAATTTGATTTCATTTTGGTCCAGTTAAAAACCGGATCCTGACATTCAACATTTTGCAGGTAGTAACTGTTTATAAGTTGGTATTTTGGGCCATAATCAGCGTAATAGTGAGTGGTCAAAAATGTTCCAAAATGATTTAATTGTTCCATGCTACCTCATGACACAGTCATTGTGTACTGTACTTAACAGTCAAACATCTGTCTGTGCCTTACTCCATTCTGGTAAAAAAAAAAAAAAAATCTAGTGTAGCACCTGACTCAGCCCGGTCAGAAATTACAGACTAACAAACCTTTTTTTTTCTTGGAAAAACAAATCACAACCTTTGCCTCAACAAAGCCAACTCAAATGCATGACAATATAGGGTGGGGAGATCATGGCTGGACTACAATTATTTGCTAAAGGATCGTGTCGAAACAAATGACGGAAAAAGAAGACTCAGCAATATGGCAGTGACCTGTTTTCTGTGCTCTCCAAACAAGGAAGCTGCCATCACAATGCCTTCATGTACTGTGGCAACAGAGAGGGGCACAGAAGAGTAATCTCCGAGTGGTCAGCGCTGTTTGTTTGTACTAACGGGGCTTAACTAGTGGCAGTGTAACAGGAAGAGGGTCTTAAGTTGTTATAACATTGTGATGTGGTGGGTTTGATGTTAGATCAGTGACTCTACACAAAATCCTGTGAAGGTGAAAGTAGGGTTGGACGGTGTGATGTTTTTAATCACAGCATATTTTTTTTTGCTTAAATGATAATGAGAGCGCACAATATACTGTGTTAGCTCCTTAGGATTTCAACCAAATGTGATTTAAATGTAGTACAAGATTGTGTTTTCCTTATAACAGCTGCAGTACTTTGTTGAAGTATTTTCCATTTGATGTTGCATCTCATATTTTCAGTGTTTTCACTGCTGTTAGAGCCATCTTTCAACATTTTCGATAGGCGCCATGTCTTTCATTGATGCACAATTAATGCATGTAAAAAGGTTTCGTGTTTTGTGTTTGACATCATAATTGTTCATTGTCAAATATCTCCTTTTTCATCCACTGTTTCTCATCAGATGTTTGTTTTGGGCTAAAAATAGACATTTACACCAATTGGCTAACATACTCTATGACATGACAAAATCCATTGTTTGATAAATAATAAAATGGTCATTATCAAACCATTTTATTAATAAGGGGGAAAGAGAAAGTGATTATCTGGGAAAAAGCAATAATTGTCAGTTAATGCATTAATATTTCAGGCTCAACAGCTTTTGCCAGTATAAAGCAAGTTTGAGATAAGCCTGGGGAGACAAAGAAAAGGAGAATGAGGGTCCATTTCTTATTTGTATCCTTGCTTTCCCAACTTGCATTTCTTCCTCCTCCATCATTTCCTGTCAGAGTGGGGTGGAGAAATCAAGGAAACAGTTTTTGTGAAACAGACCTTCCTATCCAGACAAATGTTCTTCTGTAGTGCTGCCAATTTCTGATGATTGGCACACAGCTCTGTACTGTATATTTGTCATAAAGTTAAAAGCTTAAAATTGAAATGTTTAAGTTTTCCAACAGATGAACACATTTACAGCAACCTCAATTTAGCCAATCTACACATGAATCAAACAATGTGTAATTGTATTTCACTTACTTACAGGTGTTAGCCACAGTATAAATTTATTTTTCAAATAAGTCAGAGCTGTTATTATATACAGATGTATGAGGCTGTGGTCTTTTTAAACACTTTGGAGGTGCAGATGTATCTAAGGCTCATTGTTTTCAATTATTGGGAATTTTCACCTAAAATACCTGAATTCTTCTATATGAATTGATTATTTAAACTGATTTACGCCTGGATTTACTTTTAATCTCCTCCCAGCAGCATAAAGCGAACTGTGACATCCTTATGGCTGACAGGCAGTAGTAGGAGTCTACTATGGCAGACAGACAGTGGAATGAATTGTGTATGGATAATTGAGTCTTGTGCACTGCACAGCACTGTTCCATTTCAACAACCTCTTAACTATATACAATGTTTTTTCTGTGTTTACAACAACAGCTATTAAATGAAATGTATAAGTAGAAATGATAGAGGTTAAAATCAGGTGCGTGGGTGTTATGAATGTATTGCAGGACTAACGTTGTTAGGATAGCTTAGATCTCGCCCGAAGGCACTGGTCAGATGGGATGTTTGTAATTGACTAAACCTCAAGTTAAACAACAGAGACACTGTTATCCAACACACATTTCTTTTTAGAAAGAAAGTGGGTCAACCTCATTAAGCCCTTATATCAGTCATGATGTGATCACTTACAGCCTCTTTGTAAGGGTCAGTGTTTTCTGCTTTTATCAACACTCATTGGAAAACCCACTAGTTCTTTTCCGAAGAGGTGATCACTTGAAATTCATTTTCACAATCAGTTTCCTCATTTATACAAAAGCTGATGTGTTTCCTGCTGCAAGAAAACAAACTCACAGAGATCTTTAGTCAAGGCTTAGTTGTGTTAGTTAGAGGATGCTTGCTTTCTATGCCAGAAATAAAAGGTGAAGAGAAAACAAAAACAAATAAACTTCGGATCTTGAATCTTCATTATTACTTAAAATCAAAAGTTAAAGTGTTTGTTATCTTCCAAGTGGCATTTTTTAATCCTTTAAATCCATTTTTCACACAGTAGATTTTCAGTTATTAAGATTTTTTATCAAGTTTCATAAAACAAAACAATAGATTTTTCAAATAACAAGACTAAGCAGTACTAGTTTTGCTGGACTGCAAGTTTAGACTTGAATCACAACGGTTATCTATAACTCAATACTGTATATATGTGATGGCCTACTGTGTAGATATAGACAGAGGACTGAAGCTGCTGTTGCTCTGCTAATGAGCTGCTTTCACTACACAGCTTGTGAGGACACTGTGTAAGGGACATTCACTCTATGAGCCTGCACTGGATTTGTTGTCTGGCAAAAATTAATCAGCAATACCAGCATGCTTAGTTCACTTTGAGGATGAGAAAAGCCCAGAGATCTATTACTACTCGAGGTAATCTTTAAGTAATATTGCAGTTTTTTGAATATAATGCACAGCACTGTGCAAATGTTTTTACTAAAAGTTAAGATACTTTCAAATATTATGCCTTGAATACAACTAACTCGATAAAACAGAAGAGAAAAAAACTATGTCAAATCAGTATTTGGTGTGACCACACTTTGCCTTTAAAATAGTACCAATTGCACAAATGATACTTGTGCAAAGTTTTTCATGTTAGTTCGAAGGCAGGTTGCTCTAAGCTTCTTGGAAACCTTGTCACTGTTCTTCTGTGGCTGTAGGCTGTGTCAGTGTCTTGTTTCTCTTCATGTGATCCCAGAATGACTCCATGAGATCAGGGCTCTGTTGGGGCCAGACCATCTGTTACAGGACTCCTTGTTCTTCTTGTCACTGATGATAGTTCTTTATGACTCTGGCTGCATGTTTGGGGTCATGTTCGTCGTCATGCTGCCGAATGACTTTGGGAAAAATCAGATGCCTCCTTCATGGTTTTGCGCGATAGATAAGGGTTATCTAATCCAAACATCTAAAGTGCACAAAACCTACAGTACTGTATAAAACATCCATATTGCCAAGTGTTTTTAGGTAGTTCCACTATTAAGTATGGTGAAGTGTGTACTGTCAGTCAATTCTCTAGAAGTACAGATCAATATCCACATTGGACCCTTTGTGGAACTGAGCTGTATTACTGGGCAGCCATCAGTACATTTAAATTCAGCTCCAGCCTGGTCCACTCCACCATTCCAGTTACGTTAAACTGCTAAAATGATAATAATTATAATTTGATCACCAAATAAAGTATGTTTTCTATACTTCATCTCGGAATTTTACCAGCCTCTGAAGGGAACATTTTTGACATATATCTGCCATGTTATTTTCAGCCTGCCTAACAACAAACAGATCAGCTACCCTCACTTCCAGGTACCATCTTTCTCATTTTAGTAAAGCAATTCATGTATTAGCATTAGTGTCACTTCTACTGTAGGTGGAAAATACAGATCAAGGTTGGTGAAGAGACTCATGTCCCAGCATGCTGAGACCTCTAGAGGGGATGCAAAACATACAGCTCCTCTCCACGAACAAAAACAGTGTTTCTTAGGAACCTTATTAATTACAACAGGTTTCCATTGTGCAGTTTTATTTCCTGCCCTCTAAGGATAGATGGTGTGAAAATAGTCTTTTCTCTACATGACTGCTTCAATTATGGTTTGTGAGCCTGTCAGTGTTGTTAAGTACTGCCAGATATTTGACAAAATAATCTTATTAGCCTTTTCTTGAGCTTTCAACCGCATCTCATGGCCTCCATCAAAGACCACATGTCCATTTGCTGATGAAGACCGCATGACACGGATAACGCTCCAGAACGTTAAGATTATTTCGTCCAACTTTCATTCTCAACTGTCAAGTATATATCTTTAAATGGCTTATTTTAGGTTCTATTGAACAAACACTATAAATACATACAAGTCAGCAAACAAAACATGGATAAATAACCACTATTGCAACATATTAGCAATACACTAACACCTAGTGTACTATATTAGATTCTATTAACATACTCAGACATTTTCTTCTTTAACTGCAGATATTTGAAGTCTAAAATATTCTTCTTTTTGACAGTTCAGTCTTAGGCTAGTTTATGGTGATATCACAATTAATGGTATGTGTTTGTCTTATTAAAAAGTAAAAGCTCTTACATTATGATTGACTACTACCTTGTAAAAGTGTAATTTACCATTAAAAGGTCCTTTATACGTACAAAGACATTGTGATGTATGCTGGGTGGCTGTTTTACAATATCGTGTCAGGTTCTGAAGAAATGTTTGTGTTGTGATACTGTTACACTGTTATTATGAACAAAATATTGTGGTGGTATTGTGTCGAAAATTACCCCATGGTGATCACCTCTATTTAGCTTGTTAGGTGAAAATATGTATACTCTGTATTTTATTGTTATTAGACCTATTGAGTCTTGACTGACAAATTGAGCTGTCATTAAAATGGCAGACCTCACAAACTTTTATTTTCCATTCATGTTGAGCAAACACTGTTATATGGGCTGTGTTGCTCGCTTAACACTGAATCCAAAGTCCTGGCAATTTCTTTTATGTCTCCATTCTTTTCTGGCAACCAAATTAAACCTGCAGAAATTGCAACATCGCTCACATCAAGTTATTAAAGAACATTGGTTTAGGTGCATCACATATCCCTCCAATCTCTCTGTTAAGAAAACCACATTATGCCCTTTCTACATGAAAGCATGCTTTAAATAGAAATGCGTGACCACTTGGTTACACAGAGCAGACGGGTGGCACATGTGATTGATCAATAAGCATTTTAGGGGAGCAACGTGAGACACCAGCCAGTTACACAACTCCAGTTCAGCTGTCATACAAAACCACCCAGTGCCACTTTGACAATATATTTCAAATCATTTTTGCCCTAAAATATTCATCTTTCTCTTCACAGTTTTACTCTTCTGCTCCCTAAATTATCTCCTACCTGTGCAATGCAAATAGAATACATTGATGTTCTACAGAAAACCTAAAGGAAAACTTGGATTTGACCACAGGGGTTGTCATGCCTCCAAATGTTGGAAATTGGAAAATACAGATTCTAGCTTGGACAAATGAATGTGATTCTCAGCACTGCCAAGTTTATGAAAAAAGTTTAAAGAATGAATCAATCTCAGCGTGAAAAACATTTGAACAGAAAAAAAAATTATTGATATCACTACAACCTCTGTTACAAATATGTCTAACATAATTTCAAAGATCAAAAGTGTTATGTGCATCCTGAGTTACAGTTTAAAAAACTTCAGTGGGATGGTGCCCTGCTGTCTGCAAGACAGACACCTCAGGTTTTATGTGTGTGCCTGTGCTGTCTATTGATTCAAACCGGAAAGCTTAATGGTTTGGTTCATCTGTGGATTGATGCCACATGCTGCACACCCACTGACACCCACTGACGTGAACCAACGTGAACAACAGAGGAGATCGCTGCCATCGGTCAGCACCAGCACAGGGGGCACTAATGTGGGCAGCAGTGACAGAACACATCCATCCTTCCTGACTCCCCAGGGTCTCTGCAGCATGCCACGTGTCTGTTAGATAGCTGCCCATACTGCCTTTTCCAGCTGTGCCATAGCAGGGCCGGAACAGAGAAGAGAGCCACTGCAGAATACAGTGTTTGAAGCTACAAAAGGCAATATAATTATGTGGATTTTTTTTTTAAATTAGACATAATGCGTAAACCTTTTTCAGTGTCCTTAGATCTTTTCTTCAAACAGGGGAAAAAAAACAGAGGAGGGAATCCTCTTCCAGGACAACAGACAAGCAATAGATGTATGTATAGAATAGAGAAACAGAAGACATATCTCAAAACTTTGGCAAAAAACATATCATAACTATCTGCATAGGCCGTATGGTTGAGGTGACCTTTTAAGCACTGAAATTATAGCAAGTTACCAAATTGTAACATTTACCTTTAGACTCTTCAGAGGTGATTTAATCTGATACTCCAGCCAACTAAAGCTATTCTAAAGAGAGCAACTAAAGTGAATAACTACAACAAAGAAATGAGAAAACGTGCTTTTCTTACGTTCAGGCATGATGTGATGCATGGCTACAGACAGGAAGAAGATGGCGTCGCTGTAATAAGCTCCAGAGCCAGCACTGAAGTGCTTCTGCATGGCCTCCACAATAGGGAAGAGCTTCTGTGTGAGAGCCACCACGTCATGAAATAGCACCTGTGGGGAAGATCAACACAGTGAAATCAGGTCAGTACAACAATCTTCAAACTTCAGAAGAGCTTGAAACTATGATGATAAACTGTTTTTCTAGACCATTAGTACATATAGTCTACAGTTTTGGTTTGGGTTTAAACTTGTGTTTGCCTGGTCTTAAAGTTTGCGTTATTATAAGACTGTACTGAGAGAAATGAACAGTGAATACCTCTAATAAACTGAGCTATTTGGTAAAAAGTATCACAATATTTGAATCTGTCAGTACTGACCGGCCCGTTACTGCCGGAGGCTGCATTTTATGATAAGAATCAGAAGTGCATGGGACATCTTTCCAAACAAAATCTCCTGGACCTTTGCAGAACATGTGGACAACAAATGAAACAGTGTCTCAAATACTCACTGAACAAATCCTGATGACTGTAACGTCATAGTGTGGAGTTAAATTACTAACCTTTGGAATATATTTTTAATGAAATACCTGACTAAATTTGGATAAACCCATTAACTTTTATGCGTGTATAGTTTGAAAATCCAAGTAGGAAAAATTGACATGACTATGGAAAGTGGCTCAAAAGAACACTGACCTCTGCAGACAACTGTTTTCTAGACACAAGGTAAGCCTTTGCACTTTGTTTTGAAGAGCAGTTTCCCTATTGAGAGCGAATAGATGTCTTTAGCTTAAATGATCTCTTGGAGATGACATTAACAGCTTCTTTCATCTTTTCAACAGATGAGACAACTTCACAGAATTGAGTGTAGACGTCTGCTCTCGTGGTTTGTATGGCTGTGAGAATATTACCTCCATCGGCTTTGCAATCTCGAGACAGCTGACAATGCTATTGTTATCGTTTCGTTTTTTTCAGCTCAGAGCTTGGCTTGAGCTCAAATTTTTTCTGCTCCTAAGATTGAGCTCATAACTGGAAGCCCCACTAAGCCACACTCAAATAAACATTTTTACTGTCTACAGTTCATCAAAAGGACCATCGTCTATTAGGAAGAATAAAAGCACCAAATGTTTTGTTGTACCACGTTGGCTTTTCAAGGTTTTGGTCAGACAAGTCACACTGTTCTACAAACCAGTAGTATATTAAATGCTGTCGTCTTGGGTCGAAGTTTCCTGCCTCACTGTGCTGCTTCTGTGAGCTTTAAATCCCACAGCAGCTGTGAGGCAGCAGTTTCTGCTCTGATCATGTACAGTAGATATATCTACAGATTACTGAAAGAGGATTTACAAAAAATGAAAAGTACAGTAAGCACCGATTATCATTAAAGCTTTCCAGTAGGAGAAAAACTAAATATGATTCTGATTTGGGGCAAACAGTATTTCCTGAGGAAAGGCTTTTCTGTTTTAAGCCTGACATCAGTAAGTGTGTATGTTACAGGCTTCATATAAAACCTGGACAATATGGCGGCTGTATTATAAATCAGACCCATGTGCCTCGATGGGAAAACATCATTTAGTGATCCCCCAGATTAAGGTAAGCCCGTGGAAATCAGTGCTGTCCTGGACTGCTGTTGGTAATGTGATGTAATGGCATATAAAATCATTGTCATGGGTAGAAGTAATATTTCTAAAGGTAGTAAATAGTGCTCACTATCTGGGACTGCAATGGACACATTCAAATTCCATGCATTTATGATATTTTCTTTAACATTCATTAAGCGGCCAAGTTGCATCAGTATGCTCTTATCTGACTATGAATTTGTGTTCACCGTTTCATGTCGTTTCATGTTTCACTCGCAGTTTTGAAAGACTACAACAGTTGCAACAGAAGTGGGTGTCTCATTTCCACTTGTTGCTGCTCTGGTTTCCACGTTTCTCTATGCAGAATAAAACAAAAAATAAGAAGTAAAACCTAAAAGCTAATGCTCTCCGTGTTATGACACAACCAATTCAGGTCAACGGACAAACCAAATGAAGATATGTGATTAAAGTCAAGGGAAAGTAATGTGTTTTTACGCAATAATATTTTTTGCTGCATAGAAAGAAACCTGGCAAGACAGGATCAACAGTAACTATGGATGAAGAAAGTTAGTTGAGGACAGCAAATCCTAAATTAAACTTTTATGGCATGCTTATTTTTGGAAGGGTTTTATATATTTCATGAACTATTTTGTAAAATTTCCCATGAAGAATTAATGTAGAAAACACAGAAAATCCATAATTTACAATAAATCCAAACTTCCCCACAACTGTGCCACAATAAATAAAATAAACCTTAAACTTATTTGCTTTACATATTTCTAACATGGACTACAATTTACAAACCAAACATTTGACATTCTGATCTGGAAAAAAATAACAAGCCTATCTGCACTGGCACAGAGAAAACTTATCACAGTGAAGTAAAGGCCTTAAGTTTGTGGAAGTATTTCTGAACAGACTGACTGACCACACAGTTCCATTGTATAGACTAATAAACTGTATACTGGCTGTCAGCTTTTTGATGCATTGGATTAATTTGGGAAGGCCACCCAACTCCAAACTTCACCATCTATTTTTTTTTTTTATATTTTGCGTTCAAAGGCGCAAATGACAAACAGTTGATGGCAGACTGCTATTTTACCATGTGAGCAGCTATTATTGCATCCGCTCTGTAGCTTACACAAGAGACAGACATCAGACATCAATGTTTTAAGATGTTTTTTTTGGAAATACATAAAAAAAGCATTAAATGTAGCCACTGCTCGTGCAGCGGTTCCTTCGATAAAGGGACCAGAACCACAGGAGTTCACTGACTAACCAGCCTTGAAAACTGAGATGCTTTAACGCAGAAGTAATGCTCTGTTGCAAATCGCAGCATGGTGCGGTTTTTATGGTATTTTATACTTAGAACATGTGGCTTGTGAACAACAAGTAAAGCAACAACCCTTCCCCAGGAGTTGAACGCAAATGAATTCTCAACATGTGAGATACAGAGGCTTATTGTTGTAAACATGGAAGGGGATCTAATGTTTGGTGACATATTCTAATCAAGTTAGAAGAACATTATACTTTGCCTAAAGACTATTGCTTTCCTGTTTACACCCCTCCACCCCACCCAGATTTTTTCACACATCAGATTTTGGGACACAATGACAAATGTCAAGTAGCTGAACATAATTTTTATTCAGTGATAAAATAAATACCGTTCTGTTGTATTATCTATACTTGTGACACCTCTGGTATTCAGTCTATGTGGCCAAATATTATCATTATCTCACAAACAAAACCAGCTGCACAAAGCTGACTTGAGAGACTGGACATGTTTGGCAGTTGTTGGCACATTGTGCTGCTTTTTGAAGGGATGCCAGTACTGGGCAAAATTTCCTTTTTTGACTTTTGTGGATTGCTTAACATAACTGGATGAGAGTATGAGAGGGGGAAATTGAGAACCTTAAGCCTGTATACACTTGAGACATATCTTTCCCTGTCAGTAACATTTACTGTCTTTGCATGGGTTTAAAAAAAAAAATTAAAAAAAAATCCATCAAAGTAATGCACACATCTTTTGATCTAAACAAGGATGATAGAAGATAAACGTTCACTAAGTGGAGTCCCTGTTAGCAGGACATTATTTTCAGAGCATCTGAATAAAGATGTGAAGACACAGTGTTAACCCTTAGCTGCTCGGCCTTTAACATACACTGTCCCACCTGTGGAATGCTTTGGTTTGGTAATGCTACTTTAGATGTGTTTTGGTCTGTTTATTTTGGGTACATTATTTTCTGGCTTGTGCACATAAATCAGGGTGTCTGGTAACAGGATGAACCCAAACTATTCTCTCTGTCCTATCTGTATCTTTGCCACGACTTCTCTATGTGAATGTTACTGCACATCCAGAGAGAAAGTGGCTGCACCTCTGTCAGAGATGGCAGAACTTTATTTCATGATCCATTATCTCAATCCATGTTTAACAGCAGTGGTCTGGAATGGTACCATGAGATCAATAAAAAAAATAAAAAAATAAAAAGCACTAGGTCTACAGCTTGTGGGGAAAAAGTAAGCACAGTATGAATTTATAGAGCATGTTAATTTGATTTAATAAAGCAGAAAACTCATGTAAGAGTTATGAGAACTTGTTTCCCTAGGTCACTATGTACTAACTAGAGCCTGCCTGATACAGTATTGATATTTTTGGCCTATTTTATCATCATCACAGATCGGCATCAGAGCATACGTCAGCACTTAAGTAATAAGATATTGCAGCACATCAGACAGACAGCTAAAGATGTGTCTTTTTAATTAGCGGGGACATTCAGGGCCTTTGTTTGAGAGTGAACAGCACAGAGATGATGGAGAAGCAGGGGAGAGAGAGGTGGGGAAAGGTGCTGGTCCCAGAGTTGCCTCTTCATAGTTTTCTCTGATTCTGCTATGTAGACTTGCAGTGCAATGAGAGCCCACACCACCAATAACAGCACCACAGCCTTAGGTTGATCTGTAAACTTGAACTCATGTCATAGAAACTTAAAATATCTCACAAATTTACACCATATTTCTACAGCAACTCAATGTTTCTAGATGATGCCACTGACATTCTTTCAGGCTTAAAGTAGATACAATCAAAAAACATGTTTCTTACTGCCAACATGTTTTTGTATTTGTTTGTGTTGCTGTTAAGTAAGAACCCTTACAAAATTTGTATTTTTTATATAATTCTATAAAATACCAACATCTTGCTAATACTGCCAATACTTTGTGCTCCCCCTGTCCTACAAATGGGTTTTGTATTTTGGCTAACGTCCATAGTTATACACAGACTGACTATTAGTATTGGCTGAGTAATGCATTAAAGGAAGGGGTGGGGGTGGGGAGATAATCTCTACATGCCAGTTTGAGCTGTATTTTTGAGAAAGAGAATTTATCTGGTTCTGTCTAACAACCTAGTAACACAACAGATCCAACACACAACAGTTTTTATATTACTGTAGCAGGTCCCACAGCATTTCTCCATCCCATGTCAGACCTGAACAGTAAAGATGTCCAGTATTTTACATTACAAAACTTCAACTGTTCTCCTACAAGACTTTGAGCACAGTATAAAGTGTAGAGAGTGAAATGAACAATGAAACTGCCAAGATGGCAAGCTGAGCAAACCTCTAAACAATCCAAAGCAGGCATGGGATCAGTCTAAGCTAATAGAGAGATGTAACATCCACACACCAGATGTTGTAGATGATTAGACATTCCTGAGAGAAAATGTCTGGCTGGTGAGGAGGATTTAGGATGGGATAAGTAATTTCTAAACAAGTGTATGATCTTGTGCTCTGTGAAGAATATAAAAGAGGAGAAAAAAAACACAGGCATGTAACAGAAAGAGCAACTGAGAGAGAACATAATCTTCTCTTTTGGCAGAAGGAGCAGAGTTGGGAAGGGATTTGTTTGGCAGGCCAACACTGCCCCCATGTGTTTCAACTCTAAACCGCATCTACAGCCAATGTGTTTCTCTAAGAGGAGGACTTTCTTATTTGGATAGAGGGGTCAGGGTGCAAGTAAGTGCTAGACATAGTGTTGGACAGTGTAAAAAATCTAATTAAATCATTACTTACATATTTAGAGCAGTCTCCACCTCTCAAAAATGAAATACGCCAAGTGAATACCACCTCAAGTTCAAATAAAAACTCAAAAACCCATGTGAAATTGGGGCCTCAAAATGGGGTCACAAGTCAAAAGACATTGAGAAAATCCCAGTGTTACTGAAATGTAAAATAATTACAAGCAGTCCACCCAAAATATTCTTAGATTTCTTATTAATTCCTGTATGAAATATGCTGGGAAATCAAGTTGAATATAAACAGTCTGTCATAAATGGTGTATTTATGTCCAGTGGGGCAGGAATTAACGCGGATTATAATTATCGATCAATCTGACAATTGTTTTTTTGATGTATCGGTTAATTGTTTGGCCATTACTGTTTTTTGAAAGCCCAAGTGGACATGGTTGTCAACTGCCCAAAACCAAACATTATTGATTTAATATAAGACAGAGACACACAGCAATTCTTCACAATTGAGAAGGTAAAACTAGGGAATGTTTGGCAGTTTCGTTTAAAAAATGTCTTAAACGGTTCACAGATTAAAAAAAATATTTGCCACCTAATTTTCTCCCAATTGACCAACTGATTATTCAACCAATTGTTTCACCTCTTTTTCATCAGACTCTGCAGTGCTTAATGCTGAAGCAATAATATATGTGTCTCTAGGGTTCAGGACAAAAATCTTAATACCAATATGAATTTCCTTTCATCTGCCCTCACGCAATTTGATAAATATACTTCATAATGTACAATGAGTGTAATGCATATAAAAGGCAGCTTTAGTAGAAATTAAATTTCCATCCTCCATCCTCGCAAACAACGGGTTTAAATTCAAACATCTTAAAGTGTTGTTATGTCTTGAAACCAGTAGATAATTGATAAGTGGGCTGCCTACCTCATACTTAAATGTTGCATCAAGGAGAAATTCCTGCAGCATCCTCTCTCCCAGTTCTTGGCTGGCCTGGTCACTCACAAAATGAAGCACCAACACCTCTCCTTCCAGAAAGTGTCCGTGCTTCACCATAGACAACATGGCCACCCTGAACTTGTCCTGAAGGCTCCGGCTCTTGTCCACCTTGGTGAACATCATGAGTGCGTGGTAGCGTTGGTCAGCAGCCTCACTGTCAACTTTCTTTGACCTGAAACCCTCGCTCTCTTCTCCCCCTACATCTTGGCCTTCCCCTCCTTGCTCCTCCGATCCAGCTGTATGTGAGAGCCTGGTGTCCACAGTCAGATCCGCATCATTTCTGTTGGTGTTGTGGCTGGCCTGGGTCTGCTTGATCCTCTTAGTGGTGCTGGAGAAGTTCTGCTTCTCAGAGCCAAAGTAGTAAAAAGCTACAACAGCAAGTGCAGCAGCCAGAAGAAGCACAAACTGATAGGACCTGAATGTACTGATCCTACCCATGATTCTGGCTACCAGTCTTAGGATGCCCATATCTTCCTGTTGGTGTCATGAGAATGGGGGTGTAAATGAGAAAACATTCACCATTTTGCGTCCTTTCAGTTCATGGTTATTTTTCATAAGTTGTCAACATTCTCCTGTAAGAGAAAGAATACTCTTTTTAGTCTTGTCTTGACAGACATTTTGATAAATGATTAATGAATTCAGTCATTTTTCATGCAAAAAATGGTGAAACAAGAGGCCAATTCCAGCTTCTCAAATGAATGGATTTCCTACTTTTCTTTGTCATGTATGTTGTAGGGCCTTTTTTTTGACATTTCATTATTTTGACTAACTGATCAGCAGATTATTTGATAATGAAAATAATCAGGTTTAGTTTTGAAACCATCCTTGTACCTATTGTTAAATTGAAAATAAAACTTTAGAGCATCTTTTTGATGCCCCCTACTACAAATTGTTGTGGACTTTAATGAGCTTTTATTTAACACTAGTATATTATTCACTTGAACAAAAAAATATTTGAAAATAAAAAATGTGCATTGACTCTGTTTGCTTAAGTCGATGTGCACTCCGCACCCTACTCACCGACTTTTAGAGGTCAGGTCAGAGCATATTTATGCCTATTAATTACATTTTACTTGACCTACTAATCTGTTTTGTTGTATATAGGTGTATTGATCTATATTTTTTTATTTTCTTATTTTGGGTTTAGTTTGCATGTATTTAGTTTTGGTTTAAAGATTTTATGTTCAACTTTATATGTTTTATGTAAGACTTTTAACATCTTAAAATAATTGAAAAAAACATTTTATTCCTTGGATTGGTGTATTTTATAGACCCAAACTATTATTTTGGGTATTGTTTTTAAGCCTTGCCAATTAAATATGCGATTCAGGGGTAAATTGTATGATTTCGAATATTTTATTGTTATTTATTATCTTAATTATTGATTGATACTTAAATTAAATAAATGCTGGTTTCATACGTAATCTAGTGGTCAACTCTGACACTTACAAACCTATAAAATCCCATCATTACCATGCACAGAAAATAAAATTCACATTTAAGGAGAAAGAGTAACTGATCCACTTGCCTGTCTCATGTAGCTCTATGCAGTCCAATCCTGACAGTTTGACCGGGAATTAGACTTCCCCGTGTTACTGGATCCTTTTAAGAAGCGGTACTACATCGGCTAACGTCAAACTGAAATTTAATGGCACCGTTACCGTTCACGAAAGTCCATATAGTCAAAATAACCGCAATGACAAACGCTTGAGCAGCAACCTGTTGACACTGACTACCCCCGAGGATGCTAAGTTAGCAAGCCAGCAACGACTTTGCGCCCAGATGTGGGTCGTTGAGTTGCCCTCCAAACGCTTTGTTGGCGCATGACTAAGCACTGTTTGATTTGTTTAAAAATCAAAGACGTGTATGTGCATAGCTTTGTCGATCTGAAACTACCACGGTGTTTGCACAGCTGGGTGATTTAGCGAGACAAAAAAGGCAGTAATGTTTGCCACAGAATGCACCAGCTAGCACGGGATAGCAACACAATCCTGTGACACAGCCTTAACCACACCCACTCTGGCTGAGACGTATTCCGAATCATGCTGCCTTTACGTGCTATAGGAAAAAAGGCAACCTGTATTTTTTTAAAGACCCTCTCCACACGTTTTAGGATATTCTGCTTTGAATAACAATTAGTGTCAGATATAATTTTCCATCGTTCACAGTTCTAGAAAAAAAAACATCTACTCCTTCACGCTTACTCCCAAATTTATGAATATGCTAATATTTTTAATTTCAAGACTTGATGAGGATAGAAATACACATGGGGGTGTGGTGTGGTTACATGCCAGGGAAATTCTGTATACCTCCACTAATTCATTGACCTGGAGGGATTTTTGTTGGAATATTATCCAGTTTTTATATACCCTAAACCGAAATCCAGATTAACTGTGACCAAGTACTGTTGCAGGAGGGAGTGTTGGTGAATAGAAGTGGAATATGCCCACATACTGTCCACATACACTGTTAAACCAAAACATTAAAACCAGGTATACTAGTTTAAATGTCATGGCATATGAGTGAGTTACTAATCCTGTATAGGTCCTCAAGGCTTCTCAGATTTTCTTTCCTGGCTTCTGGAATATGGGGGCAGATCAGCAAACTCTGTTCTCTGAATGTTTTATGAAATGTCTGTATTGTTTGAGGGACATTTGCTTGTAACAGTATTCATATACATTGTGGTAAAAGTTGTGTAGTAGTAGTGAATGATCAATTAGTCGATCAACAGAAAATCTTTCTGCAATTATTTTGCTAATTGATCTATTTATTATTTATAGAGCAAGTTACAAAACACAGTTACAATGTGCTTCACAATAAAAATAAAGAATAACCGTAATAAATCAGAAGCATTAATCTAAAATAAGATAAATAATTAAAACAATTACAACAAATACCATGCGTTAAGAAAAAGCCATTAGATAAAAGTAAGTTATAAGAATAGATTTAAAAGAGGATACTGACTTTGTCTGTCTAAAAATGACAGTAAATTGAATACCTTTGGGTTTTCAAACTTTCTCAAACTCAAGACATCACATTGGGCTGGGAGAAATAGTGACGGACACATAAATAACAGTAATTCTTCTCAAGGAAAGGCGTCGGAGTAATTCTCAAACCACTGGTAAATATCACCGAAAAACATTATTATCATATCATATGGTCCCCACTTACACGGAATCAATTGCGTATACTATGATAGAACTCACAAGTACGAGTTTTCAATCTGCGCTTGAAAGCACCATTCCTGCCTCGCGACAGTTTCGGCCGCGGCATTGTTGCTCTCTGCTCGCGGCGGTTGATTTCTTGTCTGTAGCAAATGCCAACCACCCTCTATTTTACAGGAAAGATGCGCGTTTTTCTATTCGCCTAATGTTGTTTTCCTCGTAAACGTTTCGTAGCTCGTCTTTTTTTGTTTTAAATCTAGGCACGTTGCTAGCATATAGCTAGCCAGCTTGCTAACCAGTCGCGAAAATGAACTCCAACACGCACGTCATTCAGGTGACAAATGTCTCCCCGAGCACAACGTCCGAACAAATGAGGACTCTGTTCGGATTCCTCGGAAATATAGAGGAACTGAAGCTGTTTCCACCTGAGTGAGTATTATCCATTATACGTAGGTAAAACGTTGCCTTACCTAAGCTCACGCTGGGCTCCTCTTGAGGCCTTCCAGCACCGAGTAGGCCTCGTTGCACGGCTTGCTAATGTTAATGCTAACATTTGCCCGCGCCCTCCGTAAGCGGTAGTCGCTCCCCGCAGCACATACCGACACTACGGCTGTACGCTCTTGTTCAACCAATCTTCCGACAAATTTCTCAGTTAATCATTATGTCTATAAAATGTCAGAAAAACGGTTAAAAGTGCTCGTTACAATTCCCCAGGTCATGTCTTTAAATGCCTTATTTTAGACCAACAGCCCAAAATCAAAAGATGTTAAATTTACATGGTTATTCAATTATTAAAGTATTCTCATTTTAAAAAATAGTAAAATTTCTGCTAATGGGCAGATTGATCCATAGACGGATCGTTACAACTCTAATTAATACGTTTTCCTGTCGTGTGTTTGGGTGAATAGACCCCTCTAAATCCCTCTCTTCTGCAGCCACTAGGATGTAACATGTCCAAATAACAACCAAGTGTTGGTAATGGTGTCAGGACTGACTCTATTGTCAATTATTCTCCCTGTAATATCTAATCAATCATTAAGAAAATGGTGAAAACATGTTCATCACAAGTTACCAGAGCCCAAGATGACAAATTTAACTTACATATTTTTTTACTTCAAAACCTGAAAATATTAATTTCACGGTGAGATAAAATGGTAAGATGCAGAAAATTCTCCAATTTTAAGGACTGAAAAGTAAAGGTGAAATGATTAATTGATGAATGAGTTAACTATTTTTTAGAAATGATTCATTTTCAAAAATTTCTGTTCTCATTCTTTTAAAGTGGATATCTGTTTTTCTTTTTTTCTTTTTATATCACATTAAACTGAATACCTTTTGGTGTTGGACACAGTCTTCTGAAAGTTAGTTGATAAAGTAATCACCAGATTAATAATGCAAATAATAAGTTGCTACCCTGCTGAAAAAATTGAAGAGCACATAAATATCCAAATTAAACTCAAATTAGTTGTCTAATTGTATCAACATGTTAACTATGTAAAGACATTTCTACAAATTCAGAAACTTTTTTTTTCTGGCAATTTGCATCCTATACAATTAATGAGAAAAGTAATTGTCAGATTCATAAACAGTGTTAATTGTTAATAAATATTTGTTGCAGCTCTTGTTGTAGCAGTGAAGAGCTGAGAAAGGGCATTTTTTTAAACAAGTAAATATAGTGCGTTTTAAATGGACAAACAAGTAGAAGTCAAATAAATATCAATAGGATGCTTGGATGGAAGTATTTTCATATTGACTTTTAGAAGGAATAATTGTTCTCTGCTTTGTATTTTCTTCTAATGAATTACACCTGGCTACTGTGCAGGTAGGAAATGTCTTAGACTACTTTTTAGGCAAGATAACGATGCAACAACACAGTAACAATTCAGTTTTAACTCACTATATAAATCACATTACAAGCATCTAGTGAGAATTATGGATAAATGTTGTGACAATACAACATGCTAGTAATATTTAACCAGCCTCAGTTTTATTTCAGGATTATATTGTGTAAGCAGAGGACACAGGACATGAGAGATTGTTCAGCTCATAATCCTTTATTAACTCAGTTGTCCCTGGGGACACAAACTCACAGTTTGAAGAGGGCATGTTGGGTCTCCTTGTTTGTATTCTTTGCACAACATATCTGTATTTTTTTCCAGTGACTCTCCCTTGCCTGTGACTTCACGTGTCTGTTTTGTAAAGTTCCTTGAGTCTGAATCGGTGGGAGTTTCTCAACACCTGACGAACACCGTCTTCGTGGACAGAGCCTTGATCGTGGTCCCTTTTGCTGAAGGTGGGTGTCTTATTGTATTATGTTACTCACATGGCTATCTCTGAACATACATCACAATGTGTAGGTGTATTTAATAGAATTGCAAACACTATCTGAGCCATTGTGAGTTTTCTGACCAAGCAAAATTAGCTAAGCTTTTCAGTGCTTGGCATTTCTAGGTATGTAAAAGGGAAATGTACATTTGTGTCCATGTCTTACAATCTAGCTGTAAACTTCTCTCTCTGTTATTTGTGTTGTGGTTTTCATAGTGGACAAGTCATTTGCAGAGAGCCCCTTCCTTGCTGGCTGAAAGTGGTCCTCTGCTGCCATCAGGAGATTAGAAAAAATAATGGCACCAGGCTCGCAAGCCCCCTTCTCTCTCTTGTTCTGCAGTAAAACATTAACTCTTTATTTTTTCTCCTCTGTTCAAGGCATCTTTTCTTTAAAACAAATTAGCCACACAACTCTTAAGCAAGATGAGGGGGTGGGGGAGAGGGTGCAGGGCAATCTCAATTCCTCACATGTTCAAAGTATTGTAGTTCATTTCAAATAACATGTACATTGATTTGTAGGCATGCACCAAACTAGGGATGCCCCGAGCAGATCTGTTTCATGGCCGTTCAAGGCATTTTTGAAATTGAACCATTTCTTATCCTCTGTTTATATTTTAACTTTTTCTCTCTGGATACACCACTTGTCAAAATGTCCCAGTGTTCATGATCCAACACTTCAGGCTAAAAACAGTCACGTTACCTCTATTTCAACTACATTTTGCAGGTGTTACACACTAACGGCATAACTTATGTTATGAACCACACATGTAACTGATCCAGACTGACTCTCCTTTGCCCATTCATATTTTATGCAACACTGTAAGAAACTATTAAAGATCCTGCACACAGGTGTTTTCAGTTACTGGCTGATTAGACCTATATATATATATGGTGCCAGCTTGCTGAGGTCACCAAACTCCAGTGTAAGTTGTCCTGCCCTAACAGGTGCAACAAAACTTAGCAATAGAGTGAGGGAGATGTCAACCAAACACAGCCGTACAGGCCCACACTGTCCTGAACGAGGTCTAATCGGTCAAACAAGTGAAGAAACCTGTGTGGGTTCACGGTGGGTGTTTAATTTTCTTAATGCAGAGCTGTTCAGCAAACGCATCCAAACTGCACTGACTTTTTAAAATGTACTCTTGGCCTGTTTAAGCCAAATATATGCTGTGCAACTGCATTACAAAGAAAAATATAAATACTGGATCAGGACTTGGTATTGGCAGATTCATAATACTAACTTGCTCAGATTGGGAATAAAAAGAAAGAAATGTTCGGGACCTCCCTACACCAAGCACAAAGCATGCAAGATAGATTAACTAATCAGCTCTGCATGCAAGACTAGACTTTGAAAGTGTGTTCCATCATCTACAGAGTTATTTTCAGCAGATGTTGTGGAAAGTTAATTAGAATATAATTTGGTTATCAATCATGATAAACGTATAAACTTCCTTTGGCTTTTACTTGGTTCATGTGCCAAAGCCTTGTAGTATTTATTTACACTGTGCATTTGTATTCCCAAATTTTCACTAACACACAAGATAAAAAGTAGAATTAAGCCTCTGCTTGATGTTGCAGTAAAAATGCTTATTTATTGACCCTCTCCACACATGACTCTGAAAGAGTTGAGTGAATCTCACGTTTAACAGTGGTGTTTCTTTTGTTGTTGTGTTTTACAGTTCTTTTTCCTGGTTCAGCCAGCCCTATATACCAGGCCCTGCTGAAAATGCCACCAACAGTTTTGTCTTCTGCAGCCTTATCCTGTTTCTCAAGTGTCCTTTCTGTTGTGTGCGTGTGTGCGCGTGTGTGTCTCTCTATCTCTCTCTCTCTCTCTCCCTCCCTCCGCCCCTTTTTAAAATGTAAAAATGTCAGATTAAAAATAGCCTATTTTCAGATTGCACAACCATGGATGATCATCTCCTTAAGATTTTCCCTTTTGATTTTACTGTTTGGTTTTCTTCAGCTTTGGGCACATTTTCATGATTTTATCATGGCTTTTGCTGGCATTAGCCCATAACTGTTTAATGCAGATTATCTTGGACATTGTTAAGTTATTTTGTTCTTTGTTTTCTTGTGACATACTGTCGGCTAAAACCTAGCAGTACTGTAGTTTGTTAGCAGTACTTTATCTGGTTGCGAAGTAATTTTTTTGTGGTGGGATTGTACAAAGTAACCACCAACAAAAGCCCAGAAAAGGTAAAATGACTGAACCTTTTCTGTTTTTTGTATTGGTAGTGGTAAGTGATGTTGAAATGTACCCTTGTGTATACACCCCAATCATGAACTTTGTTTTCTGTATCTCAATGTTTTTGTGTGCTTTATAGCGAAGCAGCCGGCGCGAGTCGCTTGTTCATAAAACATCTAATGAAAGTTGAGAGCACATCCCACGGGACAACTGGCTGTGCTTGCTTACGTTTGGTTCATGACTTAAAAAACAAGTACAGGTGATAAAATCTTGGCAGTGTTGACCACAGTGTGTATTGTGACTTTTGAACTCATAGCTGCTAATCCTACAATCATACTTTGACAAAAAAAAAAAAGTCAGGGATCAAGATTTACAGACAAGACAAAAAGTGGATTTTTATTATTTTTTTTATTTTTCACTACAGAGTAGTTAGACTGAGGTGGCTTGTCTGCAAGTCTTGTCTGAGTGTTTATCGATGTTTGCTTGGAGCAGGTACTGAAATGCTGTTGTTTTTCTCCAGGAGTCATTCCTGATGAATCTAAAGCTATGTCCCTGCTGGCTCCAGCGAATGCCGTGGCAGGAATGATGCCTGGTGGAGGCCTTCTTCCAACACCCAACCCTTTGGCATCAGTGAGTTCTTACATTAAGTTTGTCTTTAAAGCTTACATTGTGTTTTGGTATCAGAATTTAACGTTTTATTTAAAGAGCAGAGTGAGGATATTAGCATCTAGGCATGTTAAGAAATGTGGGAAAAATAGCATACAACTTTTATATTATTGGCATATAAAAATTCACAGATATGGTATTGTGAAAATCTATTGATTTATTTAACTGAAATAAATCCATAGATTTTTTTTTTTTTTTTTTTTAATCTTTACTATGGATGGCCACAGTGTGATGTGAGCCTATTAAATACTTAGTGATAATGATTGAGCCATGTTTGTAACAAGACTACAACACATTACTGTCGGGACTGAAAAGGTTTCATTTAATGGGACATCTACTAACATTTATGTATAACGTACTCCTTGTAATTAATACTGGATGGTGAGCTTTGTAAGACATATCTTGCACGTTTGGAAAACCATGAAGCACCACAAATGTAGCGTCTATGCCAAAAGCCTCTTAAAAACATGACAAATCAGTAGCAAGTCAACTGTGCTATGTCGAGCGATGCATATCTTAACTGTCTTTGTGTAATATTTCAGATGGGAGGGACGCCATTTGGAGGTCTTGGAGCTCCCAACATGGAGCAAATGGCTGCCATGGGAATGCCGGGACCAAACATGAACCCCCAGGTGAGCATTCAATGAGCCACATTCATAGTCGCAGCATATTCAAACAAAATTTCTCTGATGTTTTAACATTGTACTCATATCTCTCTCAGGCTCTCTCTGCTGACTTCCTGAAGCTCATGCAGTCCATGGACCCCAAGTAAGAAACTATACACAATCTAATCCCGAGCATGCAATCCAACGTGCCTAAATATTTCTTTGAGAAAAATCTAAATGATTGATGGGCCTTGCAGATTGAATCCATTAGCGGCTGGACTGAACTTGAATCCAGGACTCAAGACTGATGCCTCGAATAAGGAGATTGAAGAGGCCATGAAGAGAGTCCGAGAGGCCCAGTCTCTCATTTCTGCAGCCATTGAACCAGGAAGTCAGTAGACTGTTTCTTGTATATAATGTAAAACACCAGCTTTGGTAGAAAAGTTTTAATCTGGCTGGTTTATTGGATACTATAGTCTTTTCTTTCTTTCTGTTAATAAGAACAGTTTGTTTCTGGAAAATGTATCGCTTAAAAAAAAAAAAAAAAAAAAAACTTTGAAAATTGAGCGGTTTTTGACCAAACTAATCACAGAAACCCTTAGGTCCTATGGGGACCTGATAATTGACTCTTTAGGATGCTGCATTTAATGAAGACTACCTGCTTTATTTAGCAGTTTATAGTACATTATAATGAGTGAGGAAGTTTAATTCCTAAACTGCTCTTTTTCTTAAAGTGAGATGAACTCTAGAATTATAATCAACAATGACAAGAATTTGTGCATATTTATTTGTTATATGAGCAATCAGTCTCTACTACATGGTAAATATTTAACTTCGTTATTGTTTTTGTAGATAAGAAAGATGACAAGCGTAAACATTCCCGCTCCCGTTCACGGTCTCGGCGCAGACGGTCCAGATCTCGCTCGAGACACAGGTAAAGTTTACATTTGCATTACAAATTCTGCCACCAGACTATTAACATCAGTTCAACACTACAGTTGTGTTATTATGTTTTAAATTCTGTTCTGTTCTGTTCATTTTGGCAGACGTTCGAAGAGCAGGTCTCGGCGGAGGTCCCATTCAAGGAGTAGGAGGAGGTCCAAGAGCCCACGAAGGAGGAGATCTCACTCCCGGGATAGAAGCCGCCGCAGTAGATCGAGGTCAGCATCTCTAATATTGTCTTCAGTACAAACATAGCTTTCTTTTTACTTTATTGGAGGACTTCCTGCCTGCGTGTGTTGACTACTGCAACTACTGGAGACATGGACCCTTTTAGATGAAAGGATTTTTTTTGTTGTTTTTTTGTTTTTCCAATAAGCTCATGGGTTTGTCTTTCTGAATACAAATTGCTTTACAAAAAAATTCACTTGTAAGAGCTGCCAGTACATCCAGGCCTGCACAATATATCGGTTGCTGATAAGTAGGAAAATTAAACTATTCTTATTGTTGCGATGAGGGAATTTCAGCCAATAACAACGTTCGATAATGCAGAGCATGCTGCGGACGCCGCTTAAAACTCGGCTCTGAATAGTGATTTTTTCCCTTCTGGTCTTCCCCTCTCCTTGTGTTGCTGCCTGTTTGCACAAAGCTTCCCACAGTACACACTTGTCAATAAGGAGATAAAGTCTGGCATTAATCAGTCTAGAAAAAAGAGAAACTATGTGTATTACGTTTACAATAAATTAACATATTCTTTATTCCAGGGACAGTGAAGGCTTTCAACGTTTTTGTTTGTATTAGAAAAATTAAGTTAAATTAAATATTTTCCTATTTTTGAATATTTTTGAATTCATGAGATTAACATTGGTTATAATATCAGCTAGAACAAACATCATTATCATTGGTTATCAATCCTGAAATTTCATATCAGTGTACCTCTGTCCAGTTTTCTACTGCTCGCTTCGAACAGCTTCTTGAACTTAAAATGCCTGTATGACCCCGCAAACTTTCCTGTAATGTGCTGCTGTTTGCTAATTTTGTTGACCTTGATTGTCTTGAACAGGGACAGGAGAAAGGAGGAAAAGTCAAAGAAAAGGTCCAAGACGCCCCCCAAGAGCTACAGCAGTGCCAGGAGGTCTCGAAGCATCAGTCGGTGAGTGGTTTGATTAGCGTCATGTTACTCTGGTCAATTACAGGCACACGTGCCATTCATAACACTTTCAGTTGCTGTTCTATTACATTCACAACCATTCAGTTCAAATGGCAGCAGTCCATGGTTTGAGAGCCTATCATGGGATTAATTTTAGGCACACCAACTTTAAATCCAGACAAGAATGACAGACTTGACTTATATGAAATACTTTTGGCTCTCAGGAGGCACAGGCGAAGCCGCAGTGCGTCTCGCTCCCCCAGGAGGAGGCTGTCCAGGTCTCCATCACCCAGACGGTGAGTCGTCATGTGCAACACATCTTTAATTTACAATTTAAATTTTGGAGCACAGCAGCAAAATATAACGATATGATGTATTTGTAATGTTCAGTCACAAGAAAGAGAAGAAGAAGGACAAGGATCGTGAGAAGGACCGGGATAGAGAAAGGAGGGAGGACAGGGACCGGAGCAGAGACGAAAGAGAACGCTCCACTAGTAAGAAGAAGAAGAGCAAGGACAAGGAGCGAGATCGAGACCGCAAGTCTGATAGTGAGAAAGGAGACGTTAAGGTATGGTGTGGCTACGTTCCTTCTGATGGATATAGAGCTTCTCAGCAATCTACTGATCCCAGAATTTTCCAAATACCCTTTTTGCGTTTTTAACACCTTTTAAACTGTGGTGATACAGGTGACTCGGGATTATGATGAGGAGGAACAAGGTTATGACAGTGAAAAAGAAGGAGAGGAGGAGGACGACGAGAGGAAGAGCGACTCTGACTCTGCTTCATCTCCCAAAGGCCAGGAGGAGATGGAGAGATCAGAGGGCCAAATTCCCAAAAAGTCCAAACTAAATGGAGACGATCACCATCAGGAAGACATGGAGATGAGCGATTAAGAACGTCCCCGAGACCGAACCAGACCGCGTTATCTTTCCACTGTCCTTTTATATTTTTAATATAGGCCACAATATGTCTGTGCCTGATCACTCAGAGTTAAAAAATGGTTTGTTGTCTTAACTGTAGAAGCCTTGGGGAGGGGAGGGGGTGTAGAAGGAAAGCAGTCAAATAATTTTTGTAAAAACATGAGTAAACAAGGACTAAAATATGAATAACTTGAGACATGGTTTTAAATTGTCATTGCTGTACTTTTTAAGATCCTGTTGGTTTTTCTTTTTGTCGCCTTTGTGTTCAAACTTTATCTTCCTGACAGTAGAATACACAGCACTTTCAAATTAAGTGCTGTGTCTGTAAATATTTTACTAGTTGGGATTGAATCCTTTCCTCAGACTGTTAGTCACTCACCACCTGGCACCAGCTTCATGTTTGTTTGTTTTTTCTTTGGGTTGCTGAACCATTTTTGCTTCAACTGTGATGCACCCAGTCGTGTTTCAGCTGACCTTCCTATTTACAGCCCTTTGTAAGTGTACACTGTAGATTGAAATGTGTTGCAATGAAATACTTTGTCTGCAATAGGTTTTCCAAAGGAAACTAATAAAATTGGGTCAAACTGTCAACTTGTTTGTTGTTATTTACAGAAAATGTTAAAAGAAAGGGTAAATATTTTGGGAAATATAACATGGCTTAAAGCTCTGACACTGCCGATATTCTGGTGCTATTAGACGTTTTTATGCCTTATATTATGACATTTGATGTTTTATGACTTCCTATACTATGACCTTTGACGTATCTATGCCTTACTGTAGTATGACGTTTTTATGACTTGCTATACTATGAGGTTCTTTTGACGTTTTTATGCCTTGCTATACTATGATGTTTTGACGTTTTTGTCTTACTATATACTATGAAATTTTTATGCCTTACTATACTGTGATGTTTTTATGCCTTGCTATACTATGACGTTTTTTTGACGATTTTATGCCTTATTATATACTATGAAGTTTTTATGCCTTGCTATACTATGACTTTTATTTTGACTTTTTTATGCCTTACTATACTATGACATTTTTTATATTTTTATGCCTTACTATACTATGACTTTTTGACGTTTGTATGCCTCACTATACTATCTCTCTCTCAAATTGAATCGAAGGCAACTGGACTTGTATTTGTCCAGTTGCCTTCGATTCAATTTGACAGAGAGATAACTATGACCTGGACGAATGAGAACATTCACAGACTCACTATACTATGAAATTTTAATGCCTTACTATATTATGTTTTCTGACGTTTCTATGCCCTGCTATACTATGACGTTTTTATGCCTTGCTATACTATGACGTTTTTTTGACATTTTTCTGCCTTACTATACTATGACTTTTTATACCTTACTATTCTATGACTTTTTATACCTTACTATACTATGACTTTTTGACGTTTTTATGCCTTACTATACTATGAAATTTTAATGCCTTACTATATCATGTTTTCTGACGTTTCTATGCCTTGCTATACTACGACGTTTTTATGCCTTGCTATACTATGACGTTTTTTTAACATTTTTATGCCTTACTATATTATGACGTTTTCTGATGTTTCTGACTTGTTATACTATGACTTTTTTACGTTTTTATTTCTTACTATATACCAAAAAAGTTTTATGCCTTGCTATACTATGATGTTTTTATGCCTTCTTATACTATGACTTTTTTTTTAAACTTTTTTATGCCTTACTATACTATGACGTTTTTTATGACTTTTTATGACTTACTATACTATGACTTTTTATGCTTTACTATACCTTGACTTTTTATGCCTTACTATACTATGACTTTGTAGGACTTTCTCTACCTTACTACATTATGACGTTTTCATGACTTTTTATGCCTTACTATACTATCACGTTTTTATGACTTTTTATGCCTTACTATACTATGACGTTTTTATAACTTTTTATGCCTTACTATACTATGACGTTTTTATAACTTTTTATGCCTTACTATACTATGACGTTTTTATAACTTTTTATGCCTTACTATACTATGACGTTTTTATAACTTTTTATGCCTTACTATACTATGACGTTTTTATAACTTTTTATGCCTTACTATACTATGACGTTTTTATAACTTTTTATGCCTTACTATACTATGACGTTTTTATAACTTTTTATGCCTTACTATACTATGACGTTTTTATAACTTTTTATGCCTTACTATACTATGACGTTTTTATAACTTTTTATGCCTTACTATACTATGACGTTTTTATAACTTTTTATGCCTTACTATACTATGACGTTTTTATAACTTTTTATGCCTTACTATACTATGACGTTTTTATAACTTTTTATGCCTTACTATACTATGACGTTTTTATAACTTTTTATGCCTTACTATACTATGACGTTTTTATAACTTTTTATGCCTTACTATACTATGACGTTTTTATAACTTTTTATGCCTTACTATACTATGACGTTTTTATAACTTTTTATGCCTTACTATACTATGACGTTTTTATAACTTTTTATGCCTTACTATACTATGACGTTTTTATAACTTTTTATGCCTTACTATACTATGACGTTTTTATAACTTTTTATGCCTTACTATACTATGACGTTTTTATAACTTTTTATGCCTTACTATACTATGACGTTTTTATAACTTTTTATGCCTTACTATACTATGACGTTTTTATAACTTTTTATGCCTTACTATACTATGACGTTTTTATAACTTTTTATGCCTTACTATACTATGACGTTTTTATAACTTTTTATGCCTTACTATACTATGACGTTTTTATAACTTTTTATGCCTTACTATACTATGACGTTTTTATAACTTTTTATGCCTTACTATACTATGACGTTTTTATAACTTTTTATGCCTTACTATACTATGACGTTTTTATAACTTTTTATGCCTTACTATACTATGACGTTTTTATAACTTTTTATGCCTTACTATACTATGACGTTTTTATAACTTTTTATGCCTTACTATACTATGACGTTTTTATAACTTTTTATGCCTTACTATACTATGACGTTTTTATAACTTTTTATGCCTTACTATACTATGACGTTTTTATAACTTTTTATGCCTTACTATACTATGACGTTTTTATAACTTTTTATGCCTTACTATACTATGACGTTTTTATAACTTTTTATGCCTTACTATACTATGACGTTTTTATAACTTTTTATGCCTTACTATACTATGACGTTTTTATAACTTTTTATGCCTTACTATACTATGACGTTTTTATAACTTTTTATGCCTTACTATACTATGACGTTTTTATAACTTTTTATGCCTTACTATACTATGACGTTTTTATAACTTTTTATGCCTTACTATACTATGACGTTTTTATAACTTTTTATGCCTTACTATACTATGACGTTTTTATAACTTTTTATGCCTTACTATACTATGACGTTTTTATAACTTTTTATGCCTTACTATACTATGACGTTTTTATAACTTTTTATGCCTTACTATACTATGACGTTTTTATAACTTTTTATGCCTTACTATACTATGACGTTTTTATAACTTTTTATGCCTTACTATACTATGACGTTTTTATAACTTTTTATGCCTTACTATACTATGACGTTTTTATAACTTTTTATGCCTTACTATACTATGACGTTTTTATAACTTTTTATGCCTTACTATACTATGACGTTTTTATAACTTTTTATGCCTTACTATACTATGACGTTTTTATAACTTTTTATGCCTTACTATACTATGACGTTTTTATAACTTTTTATGCCTTACTATACTATGACGTTTTTATAACTTTTTATGCCTTACTATACTATGACGTTTTTATAACTTTTTATGCCTTACTATACTATGACGTTTTTATAACTTTTTATGCCTTACTATACTATGACGTTTTTATAACTTTTTATGCCTTACTATACTATGACGTTTTTATAACTTTTTATGCCTTACTATACTATGACGTTTTTATAACTTTTTATGCCTTACTATACTATGACGTTTTTATAACTTTTTATGCCTTACTATACTATGACGTTTTTATAACTTTTTATGCCTTACTATACTATGACGTTTTTATAACTTTTTATGCCTTACTATACTATGACGTTTTTATAACTTTTTATGCCTTACTATACTATGACGTTTTTATAACTTTTTATGCCTTACTATACTATGACGTTTTTATAACTTTTTATGCCTTACTATACTATGACGTTTTTATAACTTTTTATGCCTTACTATACTATGACGTTTTTATAACTTTTTATGCCTTACTATACTATGACGTTTTTATAACTTTTTATGCCTTACTATACTATGACGTTTTTATAACTTTTTATGCCTTACTATACTATGACGTTTTTATAACTTTTTATGCCTTACTATACTATGACGTTTTTATAACTTTTTATGCCTTACTATACTATGACGTTTTTATAACTTTTTATGCCTTACTATACTATGACGTTTTTATAACTTTTTATGCCTTACTATACTATGACGTTTTTATAACTTTTTATGCCTTACTATACTATGACGTTTTTATAACTTTTTATGCCTTACTATACTATGACGTTTTTATAACTTTTTATGCCTTACTATACTATGACGTTTTTATAACTTTTTATGCCTTACTATACTATGACGTTTTTATAACTTTTTATGCCTTACTATACTATGACGTTTTTATAACTTTTTATGCCTTACTATACTATGACGTTTTTATAACTTTTTATGCCTTACTATACTATGACGTTTTTATAACTTTTTATGCCTTACTATACTATGACGTTTTTATAACTTTTTATGCCTTACTATACTATGACGTTTTTATAACTTTTTATGCCTTACTATACTATGACGTTTTTATAACTTTTTATGCCTTACTATACTATGACGTTTTTATAACTTTTTATGCCTTACTATACTATGACGTTTTTATAACTTTTTATGCCTTACTATACTATGACGTTTTTATAACTTTTTATGCCTTACTATACTATGACGTTTTTATAACTTTTTATGCCTTACTATACTATGACGTTTTTATAACTTTTTATGCCTTACTATACTATGACGTTTTTATAACTTTTTATGCCTTACTATACTATGACGTTTTTATAACTTTTTATGCCTTACTATACTATGACGTTTTTATAACTTTTTATGCCTTACTATACTATGACGTTTTTATAACTTTTTATGCCTTACTATACTATGACGTTTTTATAACTTTTTATGCCTTACTATACTATGACGTTTTTATAACTTTTTATGCCTTACTATACTATGACGTTTTTATAACTTTTTATGCCTTACTATACTATGACGTTTTTATAACTTTTTATGCCTTACTATACTATGACGTTTTTATAACTTTTTATGCCTTACTATACTATGACGTTTTTATAACTTTTTATGCCTTACTATACTATGACGTTTTTATAACTTTTTATGCCTTACTATACTATGACGTTTTTATAACTTTTTATGCCTTACTATACTATGACGTTTTTATAACTTTTTATGCCTTACTATACTATGACGTTTTTATAACTTTTTATGCCTTACTATACTATGACGTTTTT